AGGAGGAGCGCGGGGATGGAGGAGGAGGAGCGCGGGGATGGAGGAGGAGGAGCGCGGGGATGGAGGAGGAGCGCGGGGATGGAGGAGGAGCGCGGGGATGGAGGAGGAGGAGCGCGGGGATGGAGGAGGAGCGCGGGGATGGAGGAGGAGGAGCGCGGGGATGGAGGAGGAGCGCGGGGATGGAGGAGGAGCGCGGGGATGGAGGAGGAGCGCGGGGATGGAGGAGGAGCGCGGGGATGGAGGAGGAGCGCGGGGATGGAGGAGGAGCGCGGGGATGGAGGAGGAGCGCGGGGATGGAGGAGGAGGAGCGCGGGGATGGAGGAGGAGCACGGGGATGGAGGAGGAGCGCGGGGATGGAGGAGGAGGAGCGCGGGGATGGAGGAGGAGCGCGGGGATGGAGGAGGAGCGCGGGGATGGAGGAGGAGGAGCGCGGGGATGGAGGAGGAGGAGCACGGGGATGGAGGAGGAGGAGCACGGGGATGGAGGAGGAGGAGCGCGGGGATGGAGGAGGAGGAGCACGGGGATGGAGGAGGAGGAGCACGGGGATGGAGGAGGAGGAGCACGGGGATGGAGGAGGAGGAGCGCGGGGATGGAGGAGGAGCGCGGGGATGGAGGAGGAGCGCGGGGATGGAGGAGGAGCGCGGGGATGGAGGAGGAGCGCGGGGATGGGGGAGGAGCGCGGGGATGGAGGAGGAGCGCGGGGATGGGGGAGGAGCGCGGGGATGGAGGAGGAGCGCGGGGATGGAGGAGGAGCGCGGGGATGGAGGAGGAGCGCGGGGATGGAGGAGGAGGAGCGCGGGGATGGAGGAGGAGCGCGGGGATGGAGGAGGAGCGCGGGGATGGAGGAGGAGCGCGGGGATGGAGGAGGAGCGCGGGGATGGAGGAGGAGCGCGGGGATGGAGGAGGAGGAGCGCGGGGATGGAGGAGGAGCGCGGGGATGGAGGAGGAGCGCGGGGATGGAGGAGGAGCGCGGGGATGGAGGAGGAGGAGCGCGGGGATGGAGGAGGAGCGCGGGGATGGAGGAGGAGGAGCGCGGGGATGGAGGAGGCGCGCGGGGATGGAGGAGGAGCGCGGGGATGGAGGAGGAGGAGCGCGGGGATGGAGGAGGAGCGCGGGGATGGAGGAGGAGGAGCGCGGGGATGGAGGAGGAGCGCGGGGATGGAGGAGGAGGAGCGCGGGGATGGAGGAGGAGTGCGGGGATGGAGGAGGAGGAGCGCGGGGATGGAGGAGGAGCGCGGGGATGGAGGAGGCGCGCGGGGATGGAGGAGGAGGAGCGCGGGGATGGAGGAGGAGCGCGGGGATGGAGGAGGAGCGCGGGGATGGAGGAGGAGCGCGGGGATGGAGGAGGAGCGCGGGGATGGAGGAGGAGGCGCGCGGGGATGGAGGAGGAGCGCGGGGATGGAGGAGGAGCGCGGGGATGGAGGAGGAGGAGCACGGGGATGGAGGAGGAGGAGCGCGGGGATGGAGGAGGAGCGCGGGGATGGAGGAGGAGCGCGGGGATGGAGGAGGAGCGCGGGGATGGAGGAGGAGGAGCGCGGGGATGGAGGAGGAGCACGGGGATGGAGGAGGAGCGCGGGGATGGAGGAGGAGGAGCACGGGGATGGAGGAGGAGGAGCACGGGGATGGAGGAGGAGGAGCGCGGGGATGGAGGAGGAGCGCGGGGATGGAGGAGGAGCACGGGGATGGAGGAGGAGGAGCGCGGGGATGGAGGAGGAGCGCGGGGATGGAGGAGGAGCGCGGGGATGGAGGAGGAGGAGCGCGGGGATGGAGGAGGAGCGCGGGGATGGAGGAGGAGGAGCGCGGGGATGGAGGAGGAGCGCGGGGATGGAGGAGGAGGAGCGCGGGGATGGAGGAGGAGCGCGGGGATGGAGGAGGAGGAGCGCGGGGATGGAGGAGGAGCGCGGGGATGGAGGAGGAGCGCGGGGATGGAGGAGGAGCACGGGGATGGAGGAGGAGCGCGGGGATGGAGGAGGAGGAGCGCGGGGATGGAGGAGGAGCGCGGGGATGGAGGAGGAGGAGCGCGGGGATGGAGGAGGAGCGCGGGGATGGAGGAGGAGGAGCGCGGGGATGGAGGAGGAGCGCGGGGATGGAGGAGGAGCGCGGGGATGGAGGAGGAGCGCGGGGATGGAGGAGGAGGAGCGCGGGGATGGAGGAGGAGCGCGGGGATGGAGGAGGAGGAGCGCGGGGATGGAGGAGGAGCGCGGGGATGGAGGAGGAGGAGCGCGGGGATGGAGGAGGAGCGCGGGGATGGAGGAGGAGCGCGGGGATGGAGGAGGAGCACGGGGATGGAGGAGGAGCGCGGGGATGGAGGAGGAGGAGCGCGGGGATGGAGGAGGAGCGCGGGGATGGAGGAGGAGCGCGGGGATGGAGGAGGAGCGCGGGGATGGAGGAGGAGCGCGGGGATGGAGGAGGAGCGCGGGGATGGAGGAGGAGGAGCGCGGGGATGGAGGAGGAGGAGCGCGGGGATGGAGGAGGAGCGCGGGGATGGAGGAGGAGCGCGGGGATGGAGGAGGAGCGCGGGGATGGAGGAGGAGCGCGGGGATGGAGGAGGCGCGCGGGGATGGGGCCGCGCCCGCACGCACCCCTCCTGGAAGGGGTAGGCCCAGGTGCTGTTGTCCGTGAGACACTTGGGGCCGCGGCTCATGGAGACGGCGGAGACCACGAAGGAGTAGCCGGAGCCCAGCACACCGACGACGGCGAAGATGATGGAGGTGAACATCTGAGGAGGAGGAGCGACGTCAGAGGGGAGGAGCGCACGGGAGGACGGGGAGGAGCGCACGGGAGGACGGGGAGGAGGAGCGCACGGGAGGACGGGGAGGAGGAGCGCACGGGAGGACGGGGAGGAGGAGCGCACGGGAGGACGGAGAGGAGGACTCTGGGGAGGACGGGGAGGAGGACTCTGGGGAGGACGGGGAGGAGGAGGACTCTGGGGAGGACGGAGAGGAGGACTCTGGGGAGGACGAGGAGGAGGAGGACTCTGGGGAGGACGGGAAGGAGGAGGACTCTGGGGAGGACGGGGAGGAGGAGGACTCTGGGGAGGACGGGGAGGGCCTGGCAGGGAGCAGACGCCGTTTGCTGCCGAGCCCCAACTGCGCAGGCGACAGGGAGGAGGGGAGCACATGGAGGCGACAGCTGCCGGAAGGGGAGCAGGGGTGCGGGGAGTAGTGGGGGGCTCATGGGTGCCCCAGGCCCGCTGCCAGCGGTGCAGGGGTGACGGGGGGCTCACAGGTATCCCGGGCCAGGTGCAGGGGTGAGGCGGGGGGGCTCAGGGGTGCAGGGGTGAGGGCGGGGGGTCTCGGGGTGCAGGGGTGAGGCGGGGGGTCTCGGGGTGCAGGGGTGAGGGCGGGGGGTCTCAGGGCTCAGGGGTGAGGGCGGGGGGTCTCGGGGTGCAGGGGTGAGGCGGGGGGTCTCAGGGCTCAGGGGTGAGGGCGGGGGGTCTCGGGGCTCAGGGGTGAGGCGGGGGTCTCGGGGTGCAGGGGTGAGGGGGGGGTGTCTCGGGTGCAGGGGTGAGGTGGGGGGCTCAGGGGTGCAGGGGTGAGGCGGGGGGTCTCGGGGTGCAGGGGTGAGGGCGGGGGGTCTCGGGGCTCAGGGGTGAGGCGGGGGCTCAGGGGTGCAGGGGTGAGGGGGGGGGTGTCTCGGGTGCAGGGGTGAGGTGGGGGGCTCAGGGGTGCAGGGGTGAGGCGGGGGGTTGGGGGGTGCAGGGGTGAGGCGGGGCGGGCGGGACTCACCGCGAAGCGCTTCCCGCAGCTCTCGTTCCCGCAGCAGCCGCAGCAGTCGTTGTTCTTCAGGCCCAGGAAGACCAGGGCGGGGAAGATCATCTGCGGGTCAGGGCGGGGTCCGGCGGGTCAGGGCGCTCCGGCCTCGCCACCGGCGCGGTGGGGCCCGGCCTCCGTCCTGGGACGCTGCGGCCCGGCCGGGCTCCCGGGGCTCCCGGGGCATTGGGGTGAAGAGGGAGTCCGCGGGGGGACCCCAGACCCGCACTCCGGGGACGCAGCGGGCGCACAGGGGTCCCGGGCCGGGGCCGGGGGCCGGGGTCGGGGGCCGGGGTCGGGCGCACAGGGGTCCCGGGCCGGGGTCGGGGGTCGGGGTCGGGGGCCGGGGCCGGGGTCGGGGGCCGGGGTCGGGGTCGGGGGCCGGGGCCGGGGTCGGGGGCCGGGGTCGGGGGCCGGGGTCGGGGGCCGGGGTCGGGCACACAGGGGTCCCGGGCCGGGGCCGGGGGTCGGGGTCGGGGGCCGGGGTCGGGGGCCGGGGTCGGGGGTCGGGGTCGGGGGTCGGGGTCGGGCGCACAGGGGTCCCGGGCCGGGGCCGGGGGTCGGGGTCGGGGGCCGGGGTCGGGGGCCGGGGTCGGGGGCCGGGGTCGGGGGCCGGGGTCGGGGGCCGGGGTCGGGGGTCGGGGTCGGGGGCCGGGGTCGGGGGTCGGGGTCGGGGGCCGGGATCGGGGGTCGGGGTCGGGGGCCGGGGTCGGGGGCCGGGGTCGGGGGTCGGGGTCGGGGGCCGGGGTCGGGGGCCGGGGTCGGGGGTCGGGGTCGGGGGCCGGGGTCGGGGGCCGGGGTCGGGGGTCGGGGTCGGGCGCACAGGGGTCCGGGCCGGGGTCGGGGGCCGGGGCCGGGGCCGGGGGCCGGGGGCCGGGGTCGGGCGCACAGGGGTCCCGGGCCGGGGTCGGGGGCCGGGGTCGGGGTCGGGCGCACAGGGGTCCCGGGCCGGGGCCGGGGCCGGGGCGTCTGGCCAGGCCGCGCTGGGCCGGGCACCGCGCCGGACCCTGCTTGGAAGGCGGGACGCGGCAGGCCGCGGGCGGGGCTCGGGGCTACTCACCAGGACGCCGCTGCCTATGATGCCCCCGAAGTACCAGACCTCGTCGGACAGGTTGCTGTTGTCCGCCATGACCTTCCCCCCCGGGAAGAACAGCAGCACGTTGGCCAGGAAGGCCAGCACGGCCAGGGGGATGAGGGCGACCCCCAGACACTTGGCGCAGCCGCCGGTGCACATGCTGGCTCCTCGAGGCCGGGCTGCGGGCGGGGTGGCCGCGCTGGCCGGGTCGGCTCTGCGCGCCCCCGCGGGCGCCGCGCCTTTATACCTCCTCCCCGCCCGCAGCGTGGGTTTTTTTCTCTCTGCACCCATAAATGAGATTACGTCGGTGCGACCGTTCAATCCTTCGTCATGGCAACCGATGACCCCTGTTAATAATCCACCAGCGCAGACAAGACACCGTGGCCCAGCCGGCGGAGCCATCGCCCGCGGGTGCGGCCTCTGCCCCGGTCTCCACGAGTCCCCGTCCACGGTGACCCCACGGAGGACACGGGGCGGCCGCGGCCTTCCCCGCTTCCCCGCGCCTGCCCCTCCGCACAAAAACAGCTCCATGTTCTCACTGGATGCAGCTGCGTTGGAGCTGCTGTTCCTGGTTTATCTTTAAAGGGCAGAACCAGAGTGACCGGGGGCCCCGGGGTGCCCGTGGGTCCTGGGGTGACCGTGGGCTCTGGGGTGCCCGTGGGCCCCGGGGTGACCGTGGGCTCTGGGGTGACCGTGGGCTCTGGGGTGACCGTGGGCCCCGGGGTGACCGTGGGTCCTGGGGTGGCCATGAGCTCTGGGGTGACCGTGGGCCCCGGGGTGACCGTGGGCTCTGGGGTGACCGTGGGCCCCGGGGTGGCCATGAGCTCTGGGGTGACCGTGGGCTCTGGGGTGACCGTGGGCTCTGGGGTGACCGTGGGCTCTGGGGTGCCCGTGGGCCCCGGGGTGACCGTGGGTCCTGGGGTGCCCGTGGGCCCCGGGGTGACCATGGGTCCTGGGGTGCCCATGGGCCCCGGGGTGACCGTGGGCTCTGGGGTGGCCATGAGCTCTGGGGTGACCGTGGGTCCTGGGGTGCCCGTGGGCTCTGGGGTGACCGGGGGCCCCGGGGTGGCCATGAGCTCCGGGGTGACCGTGGACTCTGGGGTGACCAGGGGCCCCGGGGTATCCGTGGGCTCTGGGGTGACCGGGGGCCTCGGGGTGACCATGGGCCCTGGGGTGACCGTGGGCTCTGGGGTGACCAGGGGCCCCGGGGAGACCGTGGGCTCTGGGGTGACCATGGGCCCCGGGGTGCCCGTGGGCTCTGGGGTGACCATGAGCTCTGGGGTGACCGGGGGCCCCGGGGTGACCGTGGGCTCTGGGGTGACCGTGAGCTCCGGGGTGACCGGGGGCCCCGGGGTGACCGTGGGTCCTGGGGTGACCATGGGCCCCGGGGTGCCCGTGGGCTCTGGGGTGACCATGAGCTCTGGGGTGACCGGGGGACCCAGGGTGACCATGAGCTCTGGGGTGACCGGGGGACCCAGGGTGGCCATGAGCTCTGGGGTGACTGGGGGCCCCAGGGTGGCCATGAGCTCTGGGGTGACCGGGGGCCCCAGGGTGGCCATGAGCTCTGGGGTGACCGTGGGCCCCAGGGTGGCCATGAGCTCTGGGGTGACCGTGGGCCCCGGGGTGACCGTGGGCCCTGGGGTGACCATGGGCCCTGGGGTGACTGTGGGTCCTGGGGTGACCAGGGGCCCCGGGGTGACCGTGGGCATTGGGGTGACCGTGGGCTCTGGGGTGACCGTGGGCTCTGGGGTGACCATGGGCTCTGGGGTGACTGTGGGCCCCGGGGTGACCGTGGGCCCCAGGGTGGCCATGAGCTCTGGGGTGACCGTGGGCCCCGGGGTGGCCATGAGCTCTGGGGTGACCGTGGGCCCCGGGGTGACCGTGGGCTCTGGGGTGACCGTGGGCTCTGGGGTGACCGTGGGCTCTGGGGTGACCGTGAGCTCCGGGGTGACCGGGGGCCCCGGGGTGACCGTGGGTCCTGGGGTGACCATGGGCCCCGGGGTGCCCGTGGGCTCTGGGGTGACCATGAGCTCTGGGGTGACCGGGGGACCCAGGGTGGCCATGAGCTCTGGGGTGACCGGGGGACCCAGGGTGGCCATGAGCTCTGGGGTGACTGGGGGCCCCAGGGTGGCCATGAGCTCTGGGGTGACCGGGGGCCCCAGGGTGGCCATGAGCTCTGGGGTGACCATGGGCCCCAGGGTGGCCATGAGCTCTGGGGTGACCGTGGGCCCCGGGGTGACCGTGGGCCCTGGGGTGACCATGGGCCCTGGGGTGACTGTGGGTCCTGGGGTGACCAGGGGCCCCGGGGTGACCGTGGGCATTGGGGTGACCGTGGGCTCTGGGGTGACCGTGGGCTCTGGGGTGACCGTGGGCTCTGGGGTGACCATGGGCTCTGGGGTGACTGTGGGCCCCGGGGTGACCGTGGGCCCCAGGGTGGCCATGAGCTCTGGGGTGACCGTGGGCCCCGGGGTGGCCATGAGCTCTGGGGTGACCGTGGGCCCCGGGGTGACCGTGGGCTCTGGGGTGACCATGGGCTCTGGGGTGACCGTGGGCTCTGGGGTGACCATGAGCTCTGGGGTGACCGTGGGTCCCGGGGTGACCGTGGGCCCTGGGGTGACCGTGAGCCCCGGGGTGACCGTGGACTCTGGGGTGACCATGAGCCCTGGGGTGACCGTGGGCTCTGGGGTGACCATGAGCTCTGGGGTGACCGTGGGCTCTGGGGTGACCGTGGGCCCCGGGGTGACCGTGAGCCCCGGGGTGACCATGGGCTCTGGGGTGACCGTGGGCTCTGGGGTGACCGTGGGCTCTGGGGTGACCTGGGGCCACGGGGTGACCGTGGGCTCTGGTATCTGTGCGCTGCCCCTCCTTCCCCTTGGCTCAGCCGTGTGTGCTGTGTCCCCGTGGGGGAACGGGAAGGCCAAGGGAGGGGCAGGTGGGCAGCGGCAGAGGAGGAGAGGAGACACCTCCGCGGGGCGAGAAAACGCACCCCTCCCGGCGTGGTCCCCCCGCACCCCTCCCGGCGTGGTCCCCCCGCACCCCTCCCGGCGTGGTCCCCCCGCACCCCTCCCGGCGTGGTCCCCCCCCGCACCCCTCCCGGCGTGGTCCCCCCCCCCCGCACCCCTCCCGGCGTGGTCCCCCCCCCCCGCACCCCTCCCGGCGTGGTCCCCCCGCACCCCTCCCGGCGTGGTCCCCCCCCCCCCCCCGCACCCCTCCCGGCGTGGTCCCCCCGCACCCCTCCCGGCGTGGTCCCCCCCCCCGCACCCCTCCCGGCGTGGTCCCCCCGCACCCCTCCCGGCGTGGTCCCCCCCCCCGCACCCCTCCTGGCGTGGTCCCCGCCCCCCGCAGAGTTATGCCTTGACCTGCGGTGACCCGGGGATTTCTGAGCCACCCGGAGGGTGCGGCCGGTGCCAGCGCAGGATGAGGCTCCCTAAAAAAGTCCCTGTGATGCCCGACCCTTGCTCTCTGCACCACCCGCGTCCTCCCGCGTCCTGCCAGCCAGGGCCCGGAGTTGGATCCATCGTGGGTGCCTGCACCAGTCCTGGGGCTTGAACTCGGGGCCTGGGTGCGGTCCCTGAGCTTTTCAAATGCTCAAGGATGGCGCTCTACCGCTTGAACCACAGCGCCACTTCCCAGAGATGGATTTGGACCTGGCTCTAGCTCTGGCTGCTGTTGAGCACGGCCACATGTTGAACCCCCAAATACCGCCCCCCCCAATGGTGCTTGCTGGTTAACCAGCGCAGAGAGGGCTGCCTACAGGCACTAAAGTTCATCCCGGCCGCAGCCAGCTCGGCTGGGCAATTCTCTTGGCTTCCATGTGGAGTGAGCTGGGATTGGAGCGCATGGCTGGGGTTCCTTCCGCCCGTGGCTCTCAGGGGTGTCGTGTGGCCCCTAGGAGTCTGGTCTCAGTTCAGAAGGTCACAGCGGTGATCTCTGAGGGGCGTGAGCACTGGCTGGCGAGTCTGTCCCCGGGAGCTTTGCCTAAATATTGATTTGTTTCCGCCCATCGCTGTGTTGCTAGGGTTACAGGTGAAATGTTAACTCCGGTGCCCGGCCCGGGTGTCTCCTGGGAGTGCAGTGCACACGAGCACTGCAGCGTTTCAACGTTCCAGGGAGGTGTGCGCGGTGCTCTCGGGCTCTACCTGCCCAAGCAGCCATCCCGCCTCTCCCATGCTCCCAGGAGGCACAGCCTGGGGGCCGGGAGGGGAGGAGCTCCCCAGCCTCCCCGCCTCCCCCCGGACTCCCCCGGCCTCCCCCCCCGCCTCCCCCCAGACTCCTCCGGCCTCCCCCCGGACTCCACCGGCCTCCCCCCAGACTCCCCCCAGACTCCTCCGGCCTCCCCCCAGCCTCCCCCCGGACTCCTCCGGCCTCCCCCCAGCCTCCCCCCGGCCTCCCCCCCCCGCCTACCCCCAGACTCCTCCGGCCTCCCCCCGGACTCCACCGGCCTCCCCCCAGGCTCCCCCGGCCTCCCCCGGCCTCCCCCCGGACTCCACCGGCCTCCCCCCAGACTCCCCCGGCCTCCCCCGGCCTCCCCCCGGACTCCACCGGCCTCCCCCCAGACTCCCCCGGCCTCCCCCGGCCTCCCCCCGGACTCCACCGGCCTCCCCCGGCCTCCCCCCGGACTCCTCCGGCCTCCCCCCGGACTCCTCCGGCCTCCCCCCAGACTCCTCCGGCCTCCCCCCGGACTCCTCCGGCCTCCCCCCGGACTCCTCCGGACTCCCCCGGCCTCCCCCTGGACTCCCCCGGCCTCCCCCGGCCTCCCCCGGCCTCCCCCGGCCTCCCCGGCCTCCCCCGGCCTCCCCTGGCCTCCCCCGGCCTCCCCGGCCTCCCCAGCCTCCCCGGCCTCCCTCCGCCTCCCCCGGCCTCCCCCGGCCTCCCCCCGCCTCCTGCGGCCTCCCCCGGCCTCCCCAGCCTCCCCGGCCTCCCTCTGCCTCCCGCGGCCTCCCCCCGGCCTCCCCCGGCCTCCCCCCGGCCTCCCCGGCCTCCCCCGGCCTCCCCCCGGACTCCCCCGGACTCCCCGGCCTCCCCCGGCCTCCCCCCCGGCCTCCCCCCGCCTCCCCCGCGGCCTCCCCCGGCCTCCCGCGGCCTCCCCCGGCCTCCCCCGGACTCCCCGGCCTCCCCCGGACTCCCCGGGGCCCCACGCACCCACCTCCCGCTCCTCTGCTCCTCCTCACACCCTGAGCTTTGATTTCTCTCTGGATTAACTCTGTGTGTGCGTGAGTGTGTGTGTGTGCGTGTGTGCGTGCATGTGTGTGCATGTGTACGTGCATGTGTGTGCATGTGTGTGTACGTGCATGTGTGCGCATGCGTGTGCGTTGTGCGTGTGTGTGCATGCACGTGTGCGTGTGTGTGCGTGTGCGTGTGTGCGTCACACTCCTGGGGCGGGAATCTCCCGGCTCAGGGGATCCCACGCTATCTTAAACCCGTTCAGAAGTCCTCCAGGTTCACCTGGGCTCTTCCCACGAGGCAGGAACTCCTCCTCACCACCAGGAGAACAAACCCTCCGAGCCATGCCCTCCCGCCTCCCCGAGAGCCGCCTGGGACGTGAGCTGGCAAGGACGCATCTCAGCCCCACGGTGCTGCTTTCTTCCACGCACGCACGCTCTCTGGAAGCCCAGCGTGGGGCCCTCTCAGCCTCGGGACACCAGGGGCCCCCTCTGCTCCAAACCCAGGGAGAAGAGGCCTGGGAGAGGAGGAGGGAGGGGGGTGGGAGAGGAGGAGGGAGGGGGGTGGGAGAGGGGGAGGGGTGGGGTGAGGGGGGTGGGATGGGGGCCGCCTCCTGCTGTCCATGTCCATTCCAAGGCCGGCACTGTGGTCACACTGCTTTAGCCAACCAGGGAGTGGCTGCCCTGGCCTTGGGCAGCAGCCTCCCTGTCCTCCTGCCCCTCCCCTGGGCCCAGGCCTCTGCCTCAGCCTCCTCCGGGCCCAGGCCTCTGCCTCAGCCTCCTCCGGGCCCAGGCCTCTGCCTCAGCCTCCTCCGGGCCCAGGCCTCTGCCTCAGCCTCCTCCGGGCCCAGGCCTCTGCCTCAGCCTCCTCCGGGCCCAGGCCTCTGCCTCAGCCTCCTCCGGGCCCCGGCCCGGCCTCGAGCCATCATGGCACTGGGGGCCTGCCTGCACCTGTCTGGAACCCGGTCCGGGCGAGGCCTGCGGCCTGCGGGGGCTCTGGAGAGTGGATGCACTTGTGCGACAGCTATGGGGGATGTCAGTCTGAGCGTTATCCTCCTCACACCCTGAGCCCGGGCTCCCGGGGTCATGGGGGGCCTGGCGGGCCGGCCGGGGCTGCGGGCGGTGCCCGGGTGTCCCGGCCCCCATGGGGAGCGCGGTGCCTGGAGCGGAGCTATCAGCTGGCCGTGAGTCACCTCGGTCATGGCCGGGCACCTTATCACTGGTGCTTCCTGTGACCCTTGTCCCCAGGTTGTCATTTACAGTCCTCGGAGAGGCCCCCCCACCCCTCTGATAAGAACCTATGACAGGTGTGTGTGTGGGCAGAGGCCTTTTTGACGAGGCTGTTTTTAATGCCATCAAATAAGGCCTCCGTTCATGGAAGAGTAATGTTGAATTCTGAGAGGAGAGATGAAAAATACCTTTACTGAGCCGTGTGTGTGTGCATGCATGTGTGCATGTGTTTGTGTGTGTGCATGTGCGTGCATGTGCGTGCATGTGTTTGTGTGTGTGCATGCATGTGTGCATGTGCGTGTGTGCGTGTGTTTGTGTGTGCATGCATGTGTGCATTGCATGTGTGTGCATGTGTTTGTGTGTGTGCGTGTGCGTGTGCATGTGCGTGTGTGCATGCATGTGTGCATGTGCGTGTGTGCGTGCACGTGTGCATGTGCATGTGTGTGTGCGCGCGCACGTATGTGTGTGTGTGCATGTGCATGTGTGTGCATGCGTGTGTGTGTGTGTGTGTGTGTGTGTGTGTGTGTGTGTGTAGGGGGATACAGGTGATCATCTCCTAATGCTCAGCATCCCACAGGGCAGGTCTGGGGTCCTGAAACCATGCGCAGGGCCTGTCTCCTACCTGGCAAAGTTTGGACCAAGGATCCGGGAAGACACTGGGTAACACCGACTCCAACATCTGCATCTGTCCTAATCACGTAGCTGTGGCTGGGAGCGCAGAGAGCTCCTCCCAGCCCCCCTCCTGCCCCCCACCTCAGCCTGCCCTGCTGACTTCCATGGAAATCCTCGGGGCACCAGTCAGCTAGGATAGCTTGTTTGCTTAAGGCTGCTAACAATAAGCAGGGCGCACCACACCCAGAGAGGCCTGGGGGCCGAGGGTTCTAATCACCTCAGGACATTCTCATAAAAGGGAATTGCTGGCCTCCTCCTTTGTACTTGCGGATTCTGCAGGAAGGAGGGTGGATGTTAAAGACCCGCCGGGTACCGTGTGGAAGGACCGAGGGCCCAACGAGACAATCTGAACGAAGATCCAAGGGAAAAGTGAGCAGGGAACAGCGGGGTGACGGCGGCCCCCCAGTAGATGTCCAGCGTCCGCGTGAGCGGAGTCTCCCTTCCCCGGCCCGCCCGCCAGGCACAGGCCCGAGTTACTTTATCCACACAATTCTAGCTGTCGAGGGAAGGGGTGACATTGTCCAGGACGGTATGTGCTGCGGGCCGGACTCGGTAACTCCTCTGTACGGCACCGTTATCGTAACAATTAAAACCTTAGGTATTAACATCTCAGGAATATTCTAGTCATCTCTGATTTTGAGGTTGGAATGTGCTGTTCAAAACGATGCAAGTGCCCATGTCTAACTGCCAGGTTATCTTCAATCTTGCGGGTGTCGGGGGAGAGGGGTGCTGGGAGCTGAGCTCGGGCCTCCTGCTGGCTGGTGTGTGTGGGTCTCAGTCGGAGCCCCGGCTGGCCCGGCCTGCCGTGAGTCACGCTGCGGCCTCCTCCATCATGGACTCTCAGAATTACGGGGGCCTTGGGCGTGGGTTGGGATGGCTTCTTCCTCTTAAATATGTCAGATTTCCTACAAACCATGTCCTGCTTGAGAAAGGAACCAGGAAACCACTTCCAGATCGCATTGCACCATGGGTCGAGGAGTCGGCAGTGATTCCAGCCTGGCTCAGGACGCCGGCCAGGACACCGGGAAGTCTGGCAGCGGGGACCGGGACACCGGGAAGCCTGGCAGTGGGGGCCGGGACACCGGGAAGCCTGGCAGCGGGGGCCGGGACACTGGGAAGCCGGGGACAGACGGCCGGAGGAAGTGTAAACCACGGGGCCGGGGATGGAAAAACACTGGTAAAAAATGTAAATTCAGACCCTGATAAGATACCGTTTCTTATTGATCGAATTGATCATGGTAAGAAAAACAAGCTCGATGTGGATGAAGTTTTGGTGCAGAGTCTCAACACGGCTGAGGAGAATGTGAGTGTCCAGCCCACGAGCCAGCTGGGCCGCGGGTGTCCCAGCTCTGGACGGCGGGAGCTCTCGGCTACCTTCCCTAACGATCACACCAGCGCGGGGTAGACCCTGGTGACCCTGGAGCTCAAGACACGGGCTGGGGTCAGCGAGGTCGAGGCCAGTGCGCGGCTTGGGGAGACGATCGCTGTGCTAGCGATCGGATGGGACGGGAGCCTGCGGGTGAGCGTGAGAACACACTCGTTCACGCTTGCCCGAGCATCCTGACACACACACAAGCGAGGCGCTGAGTTCGGCTCAAGACGGTGTCCCAGGCCGGGATGGACCCACGTGCATGGTAGGAAGGAAGAATCGGTTGGACATGGATCACGATGAGCACCACAACACGGATCGCAATACTGACCCCTCGGTACTGATCTCTCCGGGACGCGGTATTGTGGCCTCGATCACGGTGATGCCACTCCCTGCGGCGCCCACCTCGCTACCGAGGGGGCCTGGGGTCCCTTGGTCCACCCCGCCCCTCCCCGTGTGGGAGGTGAGCCCCACACACAGCTTTCTGCCCGGGCAGCACCCCACATCATCATGCACCGGCATGGCCTCTGACCTCTGCTCTCCGCCCCCAGGAGCCGGAGCCCCTGCGGCCCAGGGCTTCGCCCTCCTCTAGGGCGCAGCCTCCGTCAGCTCCATTCCATTCTCTATGACTCCTACACCAACTGCAAAGCCCAGGTGGGCCCCCTTCCCCGGAGGGCTGCGTGGCCAGTTCTGTCATTCGCTTCCCACCCTCACCTGTGACCTCTTTTTCTCAATCCTGCTCCTTCCGGAAGTCTCAGCCATGTCAGGAATTCAGTAAACACCCCTCAAAGTAATTAACTAGTACAAGTGCTCTCTGTGGTCCCGTGTCTGAGTGTGCGCCTGGAAGCTTGGGACGCTTGGGAGGCCTTCGACCTTCAGTGACCCCCGTGTTCTCCCGGTGGTGGGCACCTCCTGAGATGCTTGAGCCACACCTCCCCGCATGGAACCCTTGGCACCGTGAAGCCAGCCCAAGGGAGAGGAGGAGGGCGGCGGGCGGCGGGCGGGGGGCGGCGGTAGGGAGCCACGGCCAAACCTCCGGCAGGGAGGGAGGCCCCTGCGGTCGGCGCAGCCTGGCTGTCTCTCATAGGAGTTTACTTTCCAGACTACAAGAGTCTGCTTCCTGGCCGGCTCGTGTTCAGAGAGACATGAGTCCCCGTTAACCCCGCTACATGCAGGGTTGCAAACCTGCCGGCTCCGTGTCCAGAGCCAGGAAGCGCCTGGGCCCGCGTCGGCCCATCGCTCCAGGAGATCCTTTTTGGAAACTGTTCTGTAAAGATCGTGGGACAGACAGGTGAGGCCACGGGGCCCTCCCTTCGCTCCCCTCCCCCCAGCCCTGCTCCGCAGCATCGCAGCATCGACAACAGCCAGCAACCAGCGGAGACGAAGGTTCTGGGAATGTAACCTGCCTGTATTTTATCTCGTTTTTATTTCACTTCATTGTGCTGGTCGTGCGGCTCGGACTCCGGGTCTCTTGCTCTCGCTGGCTTTTTTGCTCAAGGTGGATGCTCTATCCTGTGAGCTACGCCTCTGAGTCTGGCTGTTTAAGGGAAGAGTCTCCCTGAGCTCGGGGCTCAGTGCTCAGATCTCAGTCTCCTGAGTAGCTAGGATGACAGGCATGATGCCGGATGCAGGTGGCTCACACCTGTCATCTTAGCTACTCAGGAGGCTGAGATCTGAGGATCCCAGTTCAAAGCCAGCCAGGGCAGGAAAGGCCATGAGACTCTTATCTCCAATGAACCACCAGAAAACCAGAAGTGGCGCTGTGGCTCAGGTGGTAGAGCACTAGCCTTGAGCTGAGGAGCTGAGGGACAGCGCCCAGGCCCAGAGTTCAAGCCCCACAACCGACAAAAAGTAAAAAAAACAGGTGTGAGCCACCAGTGCCCAGCTGTTTTATTTTTTTAATCTGTAAGAAAAAGATGCCTTAGTGAAGAACCTAGAAGGAAAAAGGAACATTTTCTTCTTCTCAGAAAATTCAGATGGCAGCTTTATATTCCAGTGTGTCCCAAACAGGCCAGAAACTCAAAGGTTTTACTTATTTACGAATATACGAAGATCTGCGTGCACCGCTGGCGTGTGTGTGCACGTGTGTGGCACGTATGTGGTGTGCCGTGTGCATGTGGCAGGTGTGCGTGTTTTCTGTTACACTCCATACACACAGACCCTGGACATTCTCCCTGCAGACCCCAGGTACTTCCAGAAACCCCGCTGAGCAGCAACTGGGAATCGTCATTTGTTTTGAAGACTTGTCCCAGGGTTGCACGGGGGGAAAGACATAAGCAAATAGACATTTGCTTTCTTGTTTATCGGAGCGATGTCATTTGCTTTTCTTTTTCTCATTCATTCGATTGCATTCAAATGTGTGGTAAGCGAGTCCCTCAGACTGCCACAAACAAAACCAGCAAGACGTCATTCTTCTCCGACTAGAGCAAATGCTGGAATCAGACCTTAGACAGAAGAGCTCTGCTGCTCCCCTCTGCCTGCGGTCAACCCTGCAGATCCAGGGAGGGTGGGCGCGGGCCGGGCAGCAGGAAGTCTAGCCGAGGCTAGCCTGGAGAGCACAGATACTTGCAAGCGTCTGTCATCTCTGCAACACGGTCTCCTCCTTGATATTTAGAGGATTGCTGAGGGTTAGAAAAACAATCTTAATTAAAAACACGACGAGAAAGCATGAATGTCACAGCAGGCAGAAAGGTAAAGCATGGGAGCTTGTCAAAGCAGGAGTACATAACTCATAAGCCCACAGAGGGTAACCTTGGAGATAAGAAAATGCAAACGAGCACCCGTGATTCTACTCCCCACTTTGCCTGTCAAATGAGCCGTGAGGGAGGTGGGGAGGGGGGCTTGGCGTGCTTCTGCCGGGAAGGAAATAGATGGACATTTCGAGAGCCTGTTCTCATGTCCGAGAAGCAGTCGGTATGTCGGCTGCGACGGTACGTTGAGGTATCTGATGGTCGGAAGAAGCCCCGCGCCGTCTGGGTGCTGTGCTGCAGAGACGAGCTGTTTGCTCCCCGGCTCAGAGTCCCCGGGCAACCCCGTCCCCAGCTCCGCGGCCTCCTCTCACACTCCACCCGCACACACCCGCGCTCCCCGAAAATGTGGAAACTCACGTCCTATGTCACAGCCAAAGGAGATTTACTTCCTGAGACCAAGCCGGCTGAGGTTCTATTGAGTCCTTCCGGCGGCTCAATTCTTCTTGAATCGTCAACCTTCTGGGCGTTCCCTCCCCCCTTTCTTTCAAACCCAAGTTCTCTCTTCCTTCTCGGATCCCAGACGGCTCTCCGTGGGGCTGTCTGGAACAGACGCCGTTTCAATCCTGATCTCCAGTCCTGAGCTAGAATTCACGCCCACCCCACTGCCTGGTGGGCAGTAGCACGGAGCTGGAAAGAACCAAGGCTTCGGGGTCAGGCGGGACTTGGGTGTTACTATTTATTTTTAAGTTTTAACAAGGTTAAAGTTCAAAGAGGGAGGAATGGAAAAGATGGATATTTTCTGTTCCCTGTGCAGGCAGTGCGTGGGGGTTAAGGACGCTGACCGGCCGTTCCCACGGGTAGCGTCTATCCTCTGACAGGGGGCGTGCAGGGAGCCTTGGCCCTCCTCACCCCAGACGGCCCATGCTGGGGCTCAGTGCTCAGTACGCCACGGCCTCCAGAGACAGCGCCTACCCTGGGCACTGCCCTAGGCTTCTCCACCCATCTTCGCGTCCTTCGCAGGTCTCTTTGCTACCGTGCTATTGCATGCATTTGTCATCTTGGCTTGGTCACTTAGTGACAGCTCCGTCTTGCTGCAAGAATGTAGGCCCCGGGAGGCTGTGTCTGCCCTTTCACTCCCGGCCCAGGAGGACATCTGGCACCAAGCCCTGGAAAAACATTTATTGAATGAATCAATAGCACATATTAATATAACCTAAGATACCAGACCCATAGCAAAGGATTTGCCAAGAGTGAGTCAGATTGAGTATATGTGGAAATGCTGACGCTTCGT